AATGCCTCAAGTTGGGTGAGTTGCTCTCAACATTTCGAGTGCTTTTCAAAACGACAGCGGAAGTGCTGAGACAGAAAGTGCCGCATTAGACAGATTAAGGGTGGTCTCGTCGATTGCTGCAGGTGCTGGCAAAAGTGAAATCTTCCGGACTACGAAATATTATTCCGGTGCAAAAGAATTGCAGGTTTGCCTACCTAAAATCCGAATTAATATAACTCAGCTCTATTGAAATGTATTTTATCAGGAAAATCGCCATTACACTCAAGGCACTTTTGTCAACGAGAAACGAGCTTCTCAATGCCAAGTCCATAGAATTCTGGGGCTCTTAAAGCAATGGACTCGTCGAAGGCAGTTTCTACATCGTTTTGGATCTGAAGTGTTTCTCCCGCAAGAGGTTGTCAGGGCGCTTGAAAAGGTGAAAGCCGGTAGGCCAAAGTTGTGGCGAGTACGGTGCATAATCAACACTTTTGTAGTTCAACTTGTGCAGTTTTGTGATCAGTAAGACGTGAGGTCTAGCACTGTCACGGAGTAGGATTGCCTCTTTCCTTTTCCCCCTCTCTTTCTTTTTGTCAATGCGAGGCACATATTTTGCAGTTTCTGGTGCATTTCGTCGATTCGCTGACAGCACTTTTCTGTTGTGATCATTTCACCCGGGTTCAGAAAGGTATAGTGGATCATACCCGCTGCAGACCGCCGAACTGTCTTCCTTTGGTGACTCTCTGGCCTTGGGTGATGTCATGAACTTCCTTTTTGGTCCAGCCACTGCGCAGATCGTCTCCTGTTATCATAAAGTATCCATTTTCCAACCAAAGCCACAATCCATTCGAGAAGCGGATCGTTTCTGGTATATTTCAAGACGACAGAGCACATCATCGTTGGGGATTCCCCAACAGGAGGGTAGTATTTAGTCGCTGGGGACAGGGGAATCGTATTTGCCTTCTGAGAGAGATTTGCGACGATGGGAAAAAATTTTTCCAGTCCGGTTGTTGAGTTTTGCGTGCGATTTTTCTGTTTACATATCATATATACGCCTCCCCCCCCCCGCCCGTCAGAAAATTTTGGAGAAAAAGTAGGAGAATTTTCGAGAAATTCCGGAAAACTGGTAGGATTTCGAGAAAATCTAAGAAGTAGTAGGTGGCTAGGGAAGAGAGGGTTGTATCTCCCTCGCGCTTTTCCCGGTCTCACATGTATTATGTATAACCCGCCGGCTTACCAGGCACGAGCAGCTCGAACGTATCAAAGGATGAACTACAAGAGCGTCGCGCTAAAAGCAACCTTCTTAGGGAGGGGGGGAGGGAGGGACGTCGTTCGCACGTCGCCAAAGTCGCCAGTTAATGTGTGCCTGAAAAAAGAAGATTTTAATGTTTTTCAGTCACTGCAATCGCGAAGGCTGTCAGAGCCCACGCCGATCGAATAAGCAAAACTTATAAAAACGCATAGAGAAAGGCTTCCCAACAGTATGGCATTCCATGAGAAAGCCTTGGTTTGAAAAAAAGTGTTGAAACTAATGAAACAAAAGAAAAACTGCATTTCTTTTGCACGAACCTAATAGTTTTCATTAAAAAAAGCTATAGATTCTCCTCAACACATCCTATGGGAAAATGAAGAACGCCTGACTGCTAATGGTAAGTGTGTTGACGTCAATGAAGTAATTAAGACTACGTATAACTAATCTAGCCAATGTGGTAGGTGCTACGAAGAGAATTAATGGAGGAATAGATGAAGAGGAATGGAACCATTTCGTTCAACACATATATCATGGAGAAATCGCCTGCCGAGTGACGCAGTTCAGCTTAAGCAGCTCCTTTTTTGGCGTTCCTGGGGCCGCTCAGCCAAAACGAAGCCCACTTTTATGGTTCATGGGCAAGGCCCTACAAAGTGCAATAAACCGTTTCGAAAAAGCGGGGCACGCCCTGAACGACCTTCCTGGTTAGTTTTCTTCGTCACCGCTTGCCTATTCTGAATAGGAGACTGCGGAAATCAGGGCACGTCCTGCCGTTGCGAAACATTTCGGTAGAGAACGACCGCCCTCAGTTTCATCCTCTGCTGGGAGCTGGGAGCCCCTCCCTCCTTCCTACGGTCTTGTCTCCAAGCTTTTCTTACCTTTTTCTCGAAATATTCAGAGATTCCCACTTCCAGTTTCTCCCAAAAATTTTGCAGTCGAGCGCTGGAGGGGGGGGGTATATAGCTATAGCATCAGGAAAATGGTGAAAACCACGAAAAGTCAACGGCCGAAAAGCTCGGCAAATTTTTTCTCAAAAGCGAATACGACCCCTCTCTCTCAGCGACGAACGAATACGACCCCTCTCCCCATTTCGATGTGGATATCGCCCACGGAACAGGAAGGATCAACTATCAAATAATTTTTATCAGACCAAATACGACCCTCTCTCTACCTGAGGACCAAATACGACCCCCCTGCTGGGGATTCCTCAACTTAGGACGTGCCCTTATGGAAATAGATGCTGCGATGCTGCATGGCAGTGAATCTTGCAGATCAAAAACTCACAGGGATGATTGTGATGTCGCCATGCTTCCAATACGAAAAGGAACATTGCAGTGAGAATAAGAAAGAAATCGGAAAATCCCAGAGCAGCTAGATATATGGATGTTGAATGTCGCTAAAGTTCGTTAATGATGAAGTTTAGTGTTTTACGTCATAAATTTCCGATGGGTGGTTTACTTACCATATGATCCTCATGGGTATACACCCGAACAACAAGAATGTTCCCGACCAGTCCGATTAAGCCGACAAGAGCCAGCAGTACTCCGGAAACGGTGAAATTGTACGTCTGTAATAAATTATGTCATGTTGCCAAGATAGGCATCTTCTAGTGCCTCAGTAGAGGCAAATAGGGTACACCATCGTGATGTGTGAAGTGATTGTGTCAGTACGACCCCCCCCCCCAGAAAAAAAGAAAGTCTCGGTACGACCGCTCTCCCAACACCTACCTACCACTTTCCTACATGTTCCAGCTTCCTACCAGTTTACTCCGAAATTTCCTGAAAATTTGCTATTTTCCCCCAGAAATTTCCATCGAGCGAGGGGGTGGGAAGAGAGGACGTTTCATATCGTAAACAGTAGTATAGTAGTTAAATAGAACTCTGGCGGCGGGCGCCACCAACTAGGGGGAGGGGACCGCGAAACGTCAACAACAGGGGAAAATTTTCTCCCAACGCGGCCAATTCTCTCAAAGGCACATACCAGATAGTCGGGATCGGTCGATCCGAGACACGCATTGCAGAATATCATGGGATTTTCGTCGTCGAGCGACATTTCGACAGCAGACAGCGAAGCTTCGTCAAAATGTCCTCCCCACGTATGTAGCAACGGCACAGAGACAATTCACTTTAACATCCAATTTGTGCAATGGCCAATTTCAAAAATGAGGGCGAACACCACTTCTTAAAAACAGGGCTTTTTCATGAAGCGTCAGCAAAGTGCTGAAGCAATGGAGAATTCGCTCAAGAGTGACGACTACATCAGAAGAGAACGCGAATTGTGACGGAAAAGAATTAAATCAAAAGAACTGCAGCGACGACTATTCTGAGAAAAGAGGCGTCAAAAGAAACACTAGGACTGGTCAACAAGCCTTTGCTACGCATAAGAACCTCGGCAAAAAACCTTGATGAATCAGAATTTTCTCTTTTTTGCCTAAATTATAGTGAATTTGCGACTTGGAAAACTTGGACAAGGATGAATTTGTCACTCAAAGGCAAGTGGCACGATAAATCCCCAAGACGTGTAGGACTAAAACACCTGACTGGACAGAATTCGGCGCCCCTGATTAAGCGCTGCGTAGCGCTTTTTTCAATGTAGATACCCTTATAGCGCTCTATCAAGCTGCAACATACCAACTGAGGCCTACCACATCCACCCATCCAAAAGTCCGACAGATGCTGATGCTCGCGTCGTTTCGTTCGCGAAGTACAGCATGAAGCAAATGGATGGATATCAAGCGGCTGCGGTAAGCATGATATATAGTGGATACACATAGCCGTATCTACCGTAGCGGTTACTGGCACGATGCCAACGGGAAACTCGTCCGCAATCGCTTCCTGAGTCATGTAACACGCAGGCTTTTTTGCAGATTCCTGAATATTTCACTTGGCTTTTCCTCTATTTTCCTCCACTACATAGCACCCCTGCTTCATTTTAGAATGCGAACCAATCTATCGTGCCTTTTGCTGGATTAATATTAAGGTCTGGAAGTGAAAGACGCACTCAGCCGTAAAGAAGAAGCAGAAGTGGGAGGGTCCAGACAAGTAGTGCGGTTGGCTATAGTAGGCGTGTGCTTAGCTGTGGGAGCGGGGGCGTGTATGCAGGTGGGCCATGGGAACGAAGCTGGAGGTAATCATTACCATCCAGAATTGTTCCGCACTTGAGTGGTACGCTACTGTAAGACTCTTCCACCTCGTACATGGAAGGGACAGAAACTCTTGAATGTGAGTGCACAAGTTGTCTTTGTTGCGACTCCCCCGAACATCACTACTGCTACGACCCTTCCTAGACCCAAAAATCCACTCCCAAAAAATCTTTAGTTCAATTTTTGTTCACTATTCCCATACATGCTGCTCAGTCTCCCAAAAAACCTCCTAACCCAGGGGGAGCGTTCATTTGTTTCCCGAAATTCCCACACCCTTTCCCACTAATCCCACTCTTCACCAATCCCTTCACTAATGTCAATATGCCGCTAAATACAATCTCCCCTCCCAACAAATTAAATGTGATCCCCGATGAGGGATCCTTAACGCACGCTGTGGTCCCAATCGTGAGTCATTCACCAGTTCATCTAATGAGCTCCAATGGGAATGTTTCTCTCTCTTTCGGAAGTCA